TGTCTGTCTGTCTGTCTGTCTGTTTGCCTGTCTGTCTGTCAATAGTCACATCATATGATCAACAGTTATGCAGTGCAAATGTACACACACACACACACACACACAAACCACACACACACACACACAAAACAATTCTATCACATTCCTCGAAATAAATGTTGCCTTCTGCTCTTACATGTCGAGAAAGTAACAAGAAGCGGGAGAAGTTGGATTTGCTTGTAACTGGTGGGGTTGGTTCTCAGAACGATTGAGAAACAGCAGAGTGACGCCATGAGACTGTGCCGGGGGGACAAACTGTTGTGTTTGCTTGTCTAAAGCTGGAACTTTGTCCTGGTTCGACTCTTAGCACCTTACATAACTGTACATCTGACAACAGTTAAGAATAACTCTTTACATTACATATCATTTTTTAGACGCTTTTATCAAACATTTTGTTTGTCTATCTAATCTATACAGAAGAAATCCTTGATTTGAAAGTAATTGATGGACTTTTGGTTTGAAGCCATGCATTAAATAAAGCTAAGGGATACACTGATAAAAGGCTTTCCTTGCACAGACTATGCTCAAGAGCATTGTTAGTTTTTGCAGCATGATACCTTGAAATAAAGAACCTTGAACCTATTTGTAGGTGAACATTTTCATATTCTTTTATACATTTAATTAAGTCTGGTTTGCCTCTTGGCACCATACTGACGTCACACAGATCTTCATGTCTTTCTGTTTCTGTAGCAGTGACAGTGACTGTGTCTATTTCTGTAAAGGGCATATTTATATATGTACGAGTACATACGCCATAGCAGTACTCTAGTAAAGGCTATATTCTTCTCAGGCTTCTCTTAGTCTGTAACTCTGACATTTGTAATCAGCTGGCATAGGGAGTCCATTACACTAATGATTGACATACTGTTGGCTTTTTACTATAGTAATGTAGTGTTATAGTGAAATATATAATAGAATAGTATTTTATATATACAGTACTATTCTATTATACATTTCACTATAACACTACATTGTTATTATTTGCTATAAGTAGATGCATTATGTGCCAAATAACATTTAAATGTCTCTCTGATAGGAATAGCTTGACAATTTGAGCCCTTTTGCCAAGAGTTATATAATAAGATCAGTCCTACTCTCATTTCAGGTGCGTTGTATCAATCTTCTTAGCTAAAGGCATATGCAAGAAAGCAAACAAGACATACAGTAACTGCAAAACAATTTTTTTATCTAATATTTTAATTGTGGCTCAAATCAAACTTACTGAAACCATGTTATTCCACATACAGATGGGGGTACAATGTAGCATCTGGATAATTTGGGATAATGGGGTTTCTTTTATACATTAGGACCGAGTCCAACTTGGATATGTTACACTAAATTAAATAAGCTTTTCATTCTGATCTCATTGCCATTCACTACAGTGAAGTCTGCCATTTGGTTATCAATCTTAAAACAAAAATGAATGTGTTGGTGCTGCCTGGATGTGTCGTGGCAGGTGGGTAAATTTACATTTTGAAAACTGAGACAACTACACCCTCAAGTCTTCCTAATGTCACTGCTATTCTTGTCTCATCTGCCCCAAATACTTGACTTGTATTTCTTTAGAATAAGAACAAGATTTGTTCTAACTGTGGTCTTTTATCGGATATACATAGGAAGAAATATATGCCAAACACTTAGGGCCTACATATAATTTTCTGCAAGTGCTTTTTTAGAATTTAGCCAACTATGTGGCTCCTATTTCTTATGCAAACTTTTAATATATAGGCCTACTTTATATAGTGTATTTTTTCGTTTGGACTTGGTTTTTACATGTTATTTATTGTGTGTTATGAAAACGATAGAGAATATAATTTCTTATAGGACTTGTGAGGCCAAACTAATAATAAAGGGTTATGGTAGATTTTCTGTTCAGTAATAAAGCCATTCATTATAAGTTAAACGTAAAACAAGTTAAAATAATTGAAAACAAATATTAACGCAGGGTTAAATACATCATAGAACATCAACAACACTACCAAGACACTATAGCCATAGTAAATCTTACTGTGATAATACATATTAACGATTTTTAGAGGGAAATATTCAGTCACCATTATGTGACATCAGCACTGGCTCAGCCAATCAGATCGCTCTGTTCGTACAGCCCCTGTACATGTGGGAGGACTGTTTTTAACTGCGGTTAAAAAGCATAGCAGCCTCGAGCAGAGTCAAGATCAAATGTGAGGAAAGCCTTTACAGACAATAATGAATCTGCAGGCTATCATGTAACGGATTAACCCTGCAGAGCACGTTTTGGTGGAAAAATTGGATGGCGGAAAGATTTCGGAGTGAAGAGCCAGATCAATAAATAATGTAAGTATTGTATGCTTCACTGCACTGTACAGTAACGTGGCGTTAGGAAATTAAAAGGCATCATTGTTTACTATGCATTCAGTGTTTTTTCCTCGTCGGTTAAATGAAGGGTTTGCAGTATTTACAGTGTGCGAGTGTTTGAATGAAGCTCCGGAGAAGAGCCTCACCCCGTGTGCAGATGTTTACATGTTTGCTCCAAGGCCACGCAGGACTATCGCTTCATGAACCACATGTGTTCAGCCTCAGCGTAGGCGCGTTCATGTCACATTTCCCTATTTATAGACGATATGGTTATACATGAGTAGAAATATATATGTTTAAACGATCTCTGATTGTTCTTGTAGCCATTGGCTTGTAATCCCAGTGTTTGCATGCTGCTTCAGTCGCATTAAATTGATATAGGCTAATTGGATATTTATCATAATCTGTCTGTAAATCCATCTCTGTTTATATGTGCTGATCTCATTATCTGTGCTGCTGCAGTCAGAGTGACACTGGAGGATTATATTGAAAAAAAAAAGAATAACCTTGTTGTTGTTTCCTAATCGCCTCAGATAAAACAGCATTTATTTTTCTGCAATAATAATTAATACAGAAATCGCACTGCATTACGTTGAATGACCTATGAGTTGTCTCGTGATTGGCTGTTATATAATAAGGAAGCATTGTGATTGGCTAATACGAAAAGTTTTCCTGGAAAAGTGGGGAGCTTTGGTTATGTGTGTGTGTGTGGGTTTGGGGCCAAGAATGAGTGTATGTTCGAGTGTGATTGTGAGAGAAAGAAAAATAAATACCATGGGGTCAAACAATTATGTAATAATGGTCAAACAGTCCCACTCCCAGTTATTGAGCAACAAGAACACTAGGAGATTAAAGGGTAATTTCACTCGAATGACAAACTAAAATAACAGCCATATTTTTACGTGTCAAGCCATTCGGGTAACTTTTCTTTTTAATTTCAAAGCATTCAAATACTTGTCCAGAAACAGTGCCAGTTTAGAGAAATTGTCCCTGGAAAAGCAACATTACATTTGAGTTAGAAGATATATTTCTTGATCTCAAGGACATATTTAATTTGATTCAAGCAGAGGTTCAATGGAACTCAGTCTGAACACAGTGTATTCTTTGTTTAATAAAATAGTTTTTATTATTACAGGCTGATCAAAACAAGTCATAGTTGAGTGTCTCACTTTTCTTCGATGTAAACAAACCAAACTCGTTACATGATGTTCTCACGTGGTCTGCCAAAAATATTGAGCCATCTGTCACTTTGGCGTGCTTTAATATTAAGCACACGCAGGTGTCCGGTGGAGATTTGAAGGGCAGTTTATTACACAGATAAGAAAGTGATGTCATTTTTGTTTTTGTTTCTATATATCTCCCCTCAATTTCCTGTTAAAATAAGCTAACATTATCCATTTCCCCCAGTCTCCCTTCTTCCTCTGCTTCCCTTTCTTAACTTCACTTACTTTTATGGCTCTCTTCCCCCTTTTTTTCCCATTCTCTTCTCCTCTTTCTTTCTTAATGGTTGTGTCTACTCGGTCTCTTTATCTCATCATTGTGCATTGTATTCTATGAAAATATGGTAACCCTGTGGTCCAAAAGGACCATTAGCTGCTGTACATGCAATTTAGTTAGACATGGCCTTTTTCTTTGAAATACACCTAAAGTCTTTCTTTGTTCGGGTAATTTTTTCAGGCTTTGTTATCCCTGATGTGTCAAATCCATGCACCAACATACCAACACCAGTCAAAAACACAAAGAAAACCCATACTCAGCTACGTCACCAGTATGCTGTCATTGTTTATGGTTCCAGAAGAGATTGCAAAGTTGGCTGGCTTATGAAGCAGTAATTGGATTTAGTGGATCAATAATGTTTTTCAATGTGGCAGGGAGACCTTGTGGTTACATAAAACATCCCATCTGTCAAACTCCTACAGCTAATAGGTCCATGCACTACCATGTGCATACGTTAAAGGCCTTACAATTTAAGGTTTCATAAACAAAAGAAGTACAACGTTTTTTTTGTGGGAAAGTAATTAACCATACATTTCTCTCTCTTGTGTTCCTGCCTGTCTCCAGCTACAGACCATGAACTATGTGGGTCAGTTGGCAGGTCAGGTGTTTGTGCAGGTCAAGGAGCTTTACAGGGGACTCAACCCTGCAACTCTGTCAGGATGTATAGATGTCATCGTGGTCCGGCAGCCCGATGGCACCCTGAAGTGCTCCCCCTTCCACGTCCGCTTCGGCAAGATGGGTGTGCTGCGGTCCAGTGAGAAACTGGTGAGATTACGGGGTGCTGCCTACATCACATTTTCTCGTTAGTCACACTTGTATCCTGACTACAGTATTGAAGCAAAGGCGGAACAAGTTGTGAGGACAGAAGGTCATGACATAAGTTTTAATCAGTGTTCAGACATTTTCATTTGGTAAAAACGTTGCAGCAAAATTCTGATGACATTCCACAGTCTGAGTATTGCTATTGGAAAGTTAAAAGTGACGGATTTCACACAAACACATGCTATCTGTAAGATAACACAGATATTCATTTACAAAACTTACACTTACTAAATGTTAACACAATATCACAAATAAAGGATTTATTCATGATAAAAGGGTTTTAAACAGGCTTAAAGATCATGATTCTCTCTTGCAGGTTGACATCGAAATTAACGGAGAGCCGGTGAGTTTGCACATGAAGCTGGGAGAGAATGGAGAGGCCTTCTTTGTCAAAGAAACTGAAAACACGATGGTAAGTGATGATGGACAGAGTCGTTTCTATGAGTCAGTAAACACACACAAATATAGGATGGAACATAACGTACTGACATGAAGGTCTTAGAGGCTAAACTAAAATAAACTTAAAAGATGATTTATTTTCTAATGAAAATTCACTCTATTCATCTGAACTCCACTGCTGGTAGAGTTACTGTGCAAGAGTTCAGGGTTCAGTCCTAAATAGGAATACATAAACCAGAAATGTATTCACGTACAGCACCATAAATCACATAATGTGTTTTTCTGTGTTTGCTATGAGATATGCACCTAGAAACAAAGTTCTCATTCCTCTTTTCATATTGGGGCCATAGGACACCGCCTCAATGTCATTGACTAGATGGATATTATTGGTCGTGTATGAATAGGATTATGAAAAAGTATTTGCAATCCGTGTCAAAGCCTTTGCCCCCTGTTTTGCTCCAATCCTCTGAAGTAGAATACATATTCTTTTATAATAATAAATGAGTCTACTCAGTGCCATGCAGGTGTAATATATGTCACATGGAAGTGGGCACTGCACAAATAGAGCAGAAACAACAAAATTCCCTTTTGTTTTGACAACTGATTCTGTAAACTGAAAACAAGAATGAGTGGTGAGCAGATTGGAGCTGGAAATGTTCCCAATTAGGAATTATTCTGAGAAGAACTCAAACCTGATCTGAGGGATTACTTTGGTCTGACATGGGTGCTCTAAAGAGGGGGTCCTGCAAGAATATTTGAATTCCTTCGTCCTTTATGGGAAAATAAAGTACTTTTAATTGAATGTCTGTCTCTTTGGCCATCTATATCCCACTGTTTGGGCATAATCTCGCCTTGACCCAACGTTTCCTCTGGAAAGTGGAAAACCAGGGGTCTATTTATAACTCGGGCAAATTCACCTCTGTACAGTCTGTTGCACTGAGACTGCACTCTGAAACTGCCGGTCACTGATCTGAGTGCCAGACGGACGAGGCGGTTCGGCACACAGAGAGTGTGAAATAGGAACAGGACAAACCGCACATACAACATGTAATGTAGAGTATTAAAGCACAGATAAACATGCAAGTAATGAAACACTTTTCAGTCAGATATAGCAGCTTGATGATTGTCAATTTCAGTTTTACATTTATTATCTTCCATCAGTGTTTTTGATGTATCTCACTTTTATGAATGGAAAAAGATTTACTGCATTTATACGGCAACTATTTGGCATCAAGCCAAATCTCCTGGGAGTCTTCTATCAAACTTGCCCTTTACTAAATTGGAGGACTTGTTAGGGCTAGTGTATGGTAATAAGATCTTGCAAGGGAAACATTTACCAAATGTTCCAGGAAGATGTAATCATCAGGCTACAACATCAGGATCTCTGAATACCTGTGGTAATACAATCCACATGTTGTAATGAATCTTGATTTGGTTTAGTTGAAATCCCTTTCAGGTGAAAAAAGACAATTAAAGGTGTTTGTTTTCATTATTTCTGCTGTGCACAAAGCTGTTTTGGTAGATGCATTTGTCTCCAAAGATATACAAAACCGAATTCTTACATGTCCCATTCTGCAAGATTGTGTATGTTCCCAGCATATATTGCTCTGAACAGATGAGTTGTGACCTGGCATATTGCACATCCTAACCACTGTCCCTTTACTCACCCCTCACATTGACTTTGACTGTGTTGGACTGTGTCATGACACGTGAACTGCAAGACATGTGTCAGTCTGCAGACCGGATCATCTCCTTATCTTTCCCTGTTACTATCTGGCTCTCTGTCTCTAAGAGATTTAACTAATCTGAGCTCAACCTCAACATCAAACCAGATTATGTGGATTTGTATCGGTGGGGGATCTGTTTCATTAAACAGTAAGACTTCAATTCCACAATACGTATGTTTTTGTGGTATAAATAATATGCATTTGGATTTGTTTTAAAGATAGTTGCACGGTTACAATAATGGCGTTATGTGTCGGTTGTCCCAACACTCTGTTCTTAATATCTCAACAAACATTACATGGATATATATCATGGATTACATAGAAATTGTGTTTTAAATTTAAATGTGAAAACATCATTGCTGGTGAACATCAATTGCATAGATGGTAAACCAATGATGGTAAACATTATACCTGCTTGAAATGGCTAGCATATTCATTGCTAGTAGCTCAAAACACCCCTGCTGCTTACTACAGCTACTGTATAGAGCATACTCTTTATCTTCTACCCCATTATATATTCTATCTTCTTCCCAATGATTTCACTCCAAATTCCCTTTGTTTTAAATAAAATATAGTTGATTTAAATCAGAGTTTGAAGGGAATTACGGATGTTTACACTATAGATTACCTCATATTATCATGTCATGTTTCTGTGTTTACAGGAAATAGTCCCGTCCTACCTTGCGACCTCACCCATCGTGTCGACTGGTGCAGAGTTAATGGAGTCCCAGCTGGGGAGGGGCACTTTCCGTCACCATGGTAGGCCCTCTTAAAAATACATTTGGTAATTTGTGTAAATGCGTATGTGCTAACAGTTTTCATTGCACTCTCTCACATGGCATAGACACCATCCACTGCGGTTCACTTCCTGTCCAGAGCCTGGGACTGCTGCAAAGTGATGGGGGGATGATAAAGAAGAGGAGGAAGAGGAGGAGGAAGGCACGACCAGAGGCAGGTGGAGGAGGAGGGAGGAGAGAGGAGAGTGATGAAGAGTTCTCGGAGGACCAGGACATGTTTACTATTGACCTGAGCTCTGACGAGGAGAGAGAGGGTGACAGCAGGTGTGTGTATGTGTGTGTACATGATATGTTGTTGGATTGTGTGTTTCAGTTTGAACCATTTAGGTGTTAATGTTTGAGAGAGGAGTTATTAAAACAACAGTCACTCTGTTCCATTGCTGTAGTAAACGACCTCAATGGGCTCTTCTCAACATTCACAATGATGGTTGTTAAGTAGATGAACCACTGCCAATAGTTGTGTTAAGCATAAAGACTGTGTTGTTATGTGTTTCATGCATGAATGAGTGTAAGTGGGTTTTCCAGCAATTTAAAAGAGGGCATGTGCATTTCCGCGCATGAAACAGAAGACATTGGAATGTTTCCATATATAGCAATGTAGATGGCAGTGTCCCCCTCTTTGGGTTAGTCTGTAATTATCTCCACAGCTTTTGGATTGATGCCATGGTATTCAACAACAACAATCATGCCCCCTTAAGGATGAGCTGTAATGACTTTGGTGATCTAGCGCCATCATCAGGTCCAGGTTTGTAACAAAATATTGGTGCCTGCAATCAAGGGTGTAACTTTGGTTTGAAAGGGCCCTTTCTACAAATATATTAGGGACTATGGTGTTAACTATTCCAAGAAAAATGTGTAGTGTATGAGTGCGCAAACTTATCTAGTATCCTCTCCATGTGAGCCTGTTTTATTTTTGATGACCTCACATCCTCTGGGGGGGGGGCTTCTAATCTCTGTTAGCTCCGAGCTAGCACCAGATGCTAACAACAACCCCGTAACTCTCTCTGTCTCTCTCTGTCTCTATCTCTGTCTCTCTCTCTGTCTCTCTCTCTCTGTCTCTCTCTGTCTCTCTCTGTCTGTCTCTCTGTCTCTCTCTCACACAAAATGCGCTCGTGCCACGCACACACAGACGCTCCCCCGTGAAGATGACCCCTTGCGTAAAAAATAATAATAAGCACATTTGAAAAGTGGGGGGGAAATTACGCCCATGCCTGAATAACAATGGCTTTCCATATCTCAGCTGTATTTGTGTGTTGTGCTTATTTTCAAAGGTCAGTATGCTAACATGGTAAACTGATATGTGAATATGGTAGATAAAACACCTGCTGACAATAAGCATCTTAGAATTGTACTTGTTACAAAGATTAGCCTTCTCAAAATAACAATGCTTATTGTTAAAGAGCAACAATTAAAGTTGAAAAAGGAGCATCTTTGGACAATTTAACACTCGAAAGCGTAGCCATCCTTCTTCACTGGGTTGCGTGGTTTGTTCAGATTTGATCTACAGTGACCTAAAAACTGTTATTGAATTCTGATTAAAATATGACTAAATCCTTATTGGGGCAAGTATGTGAAATCATCTTTCTCCAAGTGAGACCAACCCACCTCAGACAATGGGAAAAAAAAATACCAAATATTTCCGTAGAAATTATCAAAGACAATTGAGAATTATGTTTTCCGAGCCTTATACCACTGTTTCTAAATTCTGTAAAATCATTCCAATTGCTCAAATAAAACTCTTAGGAACAGTTGAGGGAGATGCAATGAATGGGTTTGTCTGCATGTGTGCACATGTTAGTGTTTATGTATGTGTGTGAAACCTTTGGAAGCCAGCTCAGCTTGTGGGTTGCGCTCCAGGGATTCTTCCTGTTCCCACAGTGCTTTGTGTGTCTTTGAAATAAATACCTTTTTTTTTTTAAAAGAAGCTCAGCACTAGGGCAAGAGCTCTCTAGAAACCCTCGAGGAGATGAAAGAATGTGTGTTTACCTCATGTGATGCCTCATACTGTACTCTGTTTGGTTGTGCTCAAACAAACGTTTCGTGACATTTTTATGAGCATGAGCAAATCCCTTGTTTGACTTTATTTGGACTTGCACTTACACTGTGTTTTTATAGTATGGTGTGTGCACAGGCTTTGAAATGCGTGTTTGCATAAGAATGTCATCTCAATGCATGTGTGTGTGTGTATTTGTGTTCAGACCTGTGTACGGTGATCTGGGGTCTATAGCCAACACGCTCACACACCCCAGCACTGACTGGATCCGTTCACAGAGGTATTACTTACTCACTACATTTTATGATTAACTTATCTTCTTATGTTGTCTAACTGTCTGTCAAACTTTTTTTTCCTTCCTTTGATTTCATTCGGGTCACATTTCTACAAAGCATCCTCAATGTTTTCAGTTTGATAATAATTAAAATTCACTGTCTTCTTTCTGTGTTTGTATCTTTCTGTAGTCATGGGATCAAGACGGTGGAGATGCTCTCCATCCCTTCAGCCTGTGGTCTGTCCATCTCTTGTCCTCAGCAGACCTCTCACTTCTCCCCCCACGTTAGGTACCACTTTCAATGTTCCGCTCTCTGAATGCTGCTAATAAAATTATTCACGAATGGACGTAAAGCTTAATGTTTGCAGGAAGTAAAACTTATTTAAATAATTGTAATTATAATTTCTGCTTTACTTAATCTTAGTATTCTAAAATGTAATATATATTTTAAAGATGGTATATCTGTTAAACTACGGGGTACAAACTGTGTTAATCTACTTTTCCAGCGGCCTCGACGATTCTAGGTCATCAACACCGAAGAGCGACTCAGAGCTAACCAATCAGAAAAACCCTGAGATAGGATCGCAAGGCTATAAGCCATGGGGTATTCTCAAAGCTCATTGATTTACATAATAATGTAAATAGAAGATGCTAGGCACATAACCACCCTTAAAATACAAATGTTACTACATGCCTTTGTTTTTGTAAAGTACGGATTTAACAAACGAGATATCATGTAATTATTAGTGTGCTTTAAAGGTGCTTGTAAGTCTTTTGTTTTACCTTTAGACAGAATCATTTCAGCTGTTTCTCCCAAAATGTCTTCATAAGCTAACAGGCTGCTGGCTTCAGTAACACATGAGAGTGGGATCAACCTTCTCATCTTAAAAGAGAAAACATATATTAGGGTCCCAAAATGTAATAATGGAGATAAGTAAACATAAAAACAGAACATACTTGAGCACACACACATACAAATAGTGTAAAGTCACCCCTTTCTCTTTCTTTCATAGCCGGCCTTCCTGACTGACCACCAGAAGCAGCACCCTCCCCCAGTGGTTTCCATCCCGGTGTCTTCCAGCACTCATTTTAGAACCATCCATGACACGGGACCCCCCTCCCTCAATCTCTACGCTCCCCAGCCAGGGGAGTCTGCTGCTCACAGTGAGGACAAGGACACCGAAGAAAGCAAAAGTGGAGCCAGGGCCGAACTAACTATGACGACTGTGGACAGGCCTGGAGGTGAGCATGGTCGTAATCTGGAAGACAGAATAGTATTATCTGCAAGCCTAGAACATTACAGTTGAAACTTATCCATAATTAGGTAAATTGTATTATGTAGCTACCTTTAAAACCCTTTATTATATACTTTAAACCTCAGAGGTGTTTTACTTTTTAAAGTTACTGTTTTTTTGTTGAAAATGTCACTTCTGAATGAATCAAATGAGAAAAGGATTGTAGAATTTCCTAAATCCTTGTGGACAGTTCTCAAATGAACCTTATGTATCAGTGACCCATGAGCTTGTTTTATACAAGCGTTTCACTTTTTCACTTTCTTTTTCTTTCCTGTAGTTGGAGAGGTGGAAAATGTTGGGCAGTCTTGTGCGGAGATTGAGGGTTTATCAGCCAGCTCAGTGTCTCCCAGGATTCTCATTGATCATCTTGAAGAAGGTGGGGCTGGAGAAAGTCCAATCAGATCAACTGATTCACCATCCAAGAGGAAAGGTACCAGTATCTCAAACAGTACAAAGGATTTTCTTGTACTTAAAAATGTCTATATGCTTCATTATCATGCTGATGGTGATGTGTAATTTTGTATTTTATTAGAAAAAAGAAGCCAACACCTTGGCGCTGATGGCATTTACCTGGATGACATCACAGAGCTGCAGCCTGAAGTAGCTGCTCTCTACTTCCCTAAAAGGTTCAGTAACAAACATAATCATGCACCGAAAATGTCATGTGCATGCTTTGATAGCAGTAAAGTAACTTACTCCAGCAAAATACACCCACCTTAAGGCTTTTATGTTTGGTAATACACCCACTGAGTTCCTAGGCAGGATTCTTTGACATTATGTTATTTCTTTCCTGCTTTACAAATGTAATCAATAACTTGTTCAATATTTTATAGGGATTTATGGCAATAGCTAACCACCACAGCATTACATTTATCCAGCTGACACTTTTATCCAAACAAAGCAGCCATAACCATTTGGGTACAACCCCATAGTGCATGATCAGGCAAGTTCTTAATATCTAGTTATTTGTTACTCTATTTCAAATATGCCGATCTACCTCAGGTGCTACATTTAGAGACATTATGAAATATGTCAAACATTTTTATTTTATGGGCCAAGATGCAGTCATGATCACAACACCAGATGTTACAGATGTATCTGTTTGAGAGCGTATGGATTTCTCTCTTCTCAGTGACGGTGGCAGCAGCTCCATGAGAGGCGACTCTGAGTTGATGATGATGGGAGTAGGGAGCGCAAATCAGTCCCCCCACTCAGAGGGCAGCAGTGGGATGGGCAGCAGTGGGATGGACAGCGGTGTTGACAGTTTGTCCGACCACATAGGGGACCTGCCTCATGTTTCCATCTCTTTGTGTGGAGGACTCACTGACAACAGAGAGATCACAAGAGGTAGACAAAAGTAATGTGCAAGAGGGAAGGACAAAGGGGAAACACTTAGTTCAATTTAAACTTATTTCCCTGTTCTTTGTTTTTCGTGTGTGTGTGTGTGTGTGTGTGTGTGTGTGTGGTGTGTCAGTTTTCGGAAAACCCTTCTCTTATCGATGACCCCAACCTGGTTGTCAAGATAGGAAACAAGTATGTACCGATATATTCATTATGGAAGGTAATACACATTTTGTCTGCCCTATGCTGCACTACAAATTGATTCCAAATAATAGTTGGGCTTTTTGTGAAATGTGTTGGGTTTCAGGTTGATGGATCTATCATTATATGAATATTTGGTTAGCATAACTTAGCACACATACTAGAAACCTGGAGAAAAACTCCCTCTAGCCAAAGTTATCTCAATCGGCTCACTGGCACCTCATAAACTTTTGTCAAGAAAGCTAATTAGGGTGATAATCCCTCATTTAGAAATAAATATGACACCTGTTTTTGTTAGATATAAATTTGAGTTTTTAAAGACCATTTATAGCTCTCGGTCATTGCTTTTAGGTACTACAACTGGAACACAGCAGCTCCTGTCATGCTGTCAATGCAGGTTTATCAGAAACCACTGCCCCAGGTAAGACCACCACAGTCAGACACAATACTTGTATATTGAAATGAACCATTAGGAGTTGCAACATAATTGTCTTTCAGTGTAAAGTTATACAGCTTAGTCATAATTGTGTTAAGTATTTTCTTTGATTACATCATTGTTATATTGTTAGATGGTGTGGTGTAAGTGTTCTGCGACCCTGCATCCCTTTTTACTCTGCACTTACAGCATTTAGCATACATATACATTTTCCCTATCTGATGTGTCACTTCAGTGTTGTCTTTTGCCAGTGTCCAGGCTTCCTTTTATGAAACAAATTGATTATTTACACTTACTGTGTTGGATAAAGAGAACTTTTTGATGGATATTCCCTATGATATAATTGGAATCGGCTTTTTATAAACAGGAGCGCTAACATGAAAGCTGCCAGTCCTACACAACAGTGACATTTGCCTTTAAATCTTACTGTTTTTATAACACAATAATAATGTAATGTCTTTATCCCCCCTATTTTTTTCTTTTATTTACACTTTTTTCTTGCCTTCCATCATTCATCCGATTTTTCTGTGTGCTAAGTGTTGGTGTTTGAGTTACGTGTTTTCTGCTTTTGGCCTCTTCTCATACTGCCTCCCTGGTCTTTTTGGCTCCAGTCCTTCCCAACCTGTATGATACTTTTCTTGGGAGTTGGTCAAGGCATGTGTGTGTGTGTGTGTGTGTGTGTGTGTCTGTCTGTCTATCTGTCGGTCGGTCGGTGGTCTGTCTGTCTGTCTGTTGGGTGTCTGTCTGTCTGTCGTCTGTCTTCGTCTGTCTGTCTGTCGTCGTCGTCTTCTGTCTGTCTGTCTGTCTGTCTGTCTGTCTGTCTGTTGCTGTCTGTCTGTCTGTCTGTCTGTCTGTCTGTCTGTCTGTCGTCCGTCGTCGCTTGTCTGTCTGTCTGTCTGTCTGTCTGTCTGTCTGTCTGTCGGTCTGTCTGTCTGTCTGTCTGTCTGTCTGTCTGTCTGTCTGTCTGTCTGTCTGTCTGTCTGTCTGTCTGTCTGTCTGTCTGTCTGTCTGTCTGTCTGTCTGTCTGTCTGTCTGTCTGTCTGTCTGTCTGTCTGTCTGTCTGTCTGTCTGTCTGTCTGTCTGTCTGTCTGTCTGTCTGTCTGTCTGTCTGTCTGTCTGTCTGTCTGTCGGTCGGCCGGTCGGTCGGTCTGTCTGTCTGTCTGCTGTGTCTTGTGGCACTTTTCCCCACTGCTATCCAGGCACAATCTTCAGACATCTCTCTTTACTTTGCCTCCTTTGTTTACGTGCCTTTGAATTCTCACCTGTAACTGCCTTTATTTGGTGATTTAGTTGCATTTCATTGTCATTTGCAATGTGTTGCTTTATTATTTTCTTGTGAGCTATCTGTTCATGTATTTATGGGTGTACCTGTAGTTCCTGCTTCACTTTGATTCCATTATTTCTGTCAGTTTTGAGTTACATTTCCAGTCAGTTTTGAGTTGTATATGCATGGTTTTCTTCAGGCCTCAGTGGAGAACATCATGAAGGAGAAGATGCCAAAGAAAGGAGGACGCTGGTGGTTCTCATGGAGGAGCCGGAACAGCGACTCCAAATCAGTAAGTTCCAGGATCCACATTATTTGTGGTTGTAAGCCTTTATTATCTACTCATCTAGTCAGTGGAGGGAAAGGGATAAATGGAAATGTTGGGGGCCATGTTTGTTCCTTACATCAACAAAAGCAACAATATTTCACCCGATTAAGTGACCTTTGACCTTTCTGCACTTCAGGAATCAGTGACGGATGGGGGGGGAGACAGTGGAGAGAGCTCACTCACCATGCCCTCAATGAACAGGTGACAGACCCTTTTTAGCATAAAACAACATATATCTCTTCATTCTCATCAGTTTTCATATTCTCATTACAATTGTTTGTCTTCAGCACAAAGGATGAGTCATCCTCTAGTGATGAGGACAACAGATCGTCCAATCAGGCATCAGGATCCTGCCAGCCGGAGCCCCTCATGAGTCCTGGCAGCGTCTTTTACAAGAAGACTCTTCGGCTCAACTCAGAGCAGCTGGTATGCATTACTACAGTTGGTTTTATTAACCTTAATGCGGATAAAGTATGCACACACGTTAGTTTATGGCCGCACTAAAACTCTGTAGCAACTTATTACATATTGCACTATATGGCATGAATATGGACAAAGTACATACATTACCTACGCTTACATACCAAACGTCAATCTTAAAATGATTTTTAAAAGGAGTGAAAACATGTTGCTTTTTGGGTTACACTCTCTATCCAATGGGGCTCCAAACAGTTTAATCGGAGGCTCAGTGAATGGGAAAATGGTCTGAGGGAGAGCCCATAATCTCAGACCCAGATTTAATGTATCTTAAAATGAAAAATGGTATTCTAATATTTTGTCTAAAGAAATTGAATCAGAATTCCTGATGATTTTTGTGTCATTGCATGTGTTTCCTACCTGCACTATATAAGAAGCTTAACACTGTATATCAAATTAACTTTCATAATTTGAATGTGTCTTTGCTTGCCTCTTTGTGTAATAATGTGTGTGTGTGTGTGTGTGTTTACAGGCTAGCCTGCAGCTGAAAGAGGGAGCCAATGAAGTGGTGTTCAGTGTGACCACTCAGTATCAGGGCACATGTCGCTGCCATGGCACAATCTATCTGTGGAGCTGGGATGACAAGATAGTTATCTCTGATATAGATGGAACCATCACCAGGTAATGGAAAGCAAGACTGTCTCCCTGTCGTTGTTATAATCCAATAGGAAATTAACAAAGCCGTCTGTGACAGAAGGAAGTTCAGTTTCAACTTTTCACCACTAGATGTCAGGCTTTACACAGATTTAGTGTCGGTGATGTGTCTCTACTTGCAGTAAAGAGGTGGATCTGTATTGATGTTGTGGCGTTGCCTCTCTGTAGGTCAGACACGCTGGGTCACATCCTCCCTACTCTGGGTAAAGACTGGACCCACCAGGGTATCGCTCGGTTCTACCACAAAGTCAGCCAGTGAGTGCTGCTTTACAATCTCCACACTGCTTACATACAGTAGTGATGTTGTTAAGCTAAGGACATTTTAGAATACAAATGTAAGCTTCTACATTACAAATATCCGATATATGTGTTTAGTTATTTTTGCTTTAACAGACATATAATAGCATCTTAGTAGTGAATCCTTGTTAAATCTGAATACACAACTGTTGAAGCTTGGTAAATGTGTGTCTTTGTCTCTCTCTCTCCATCACAGGAATGGATATAAATTCATGTTTTGCTCGGCGAGGGCCATTGGTATGGCTGACATGACGCGAGGCTACCTGCACTGGGTCAATGAGAGGGGAACCATGCTGCCTATGGGCCCGGTGCTGCTCAGCCCCAGCAGCCTTTTCTCTGCTTTGCACAGGTCAGACACGCACCACATGTACACAAATATAGTAATCAGGATTCATATGGGCTTTAGCCATACAAAAATAGCCTCAGTAATGAATAATAGTAACTATAATTTGGTGATTAAAAAGATTGTTTTTCACCAGCAGCATGTATATATACGCACAAACAACACAAACCGTCATGTGCACATATTGTAACTAGAACTTTAAGGTTTTTCATGCATTTCACTCAGTCTTCTTCTTCTATTGGCTAACACATCGTTTATGTGTTTACTGTCATGTTGTGTAGGGAGGTGATTGAGAAGAAACCAGAGAAGTTTAAGATAGAGTGTCTCTCAGACATAAAGCAACTGTTCTACCCCAACACTGAGCCTTTCTACGCTGCTTTTGGAAACAGAGCTACGGTGAGAGGGTTCACTTGTCTGCTCTTTATTCAAAGGGAATCATTTGTAATAGTAATTATTTGTATGCATAATTTTAAATCAAATATTTCAGCATTGTCACAATTTGTTGCCAACACTTACCCTTGGCAGTGATGCTTTGTGATTTCAGGATGTGTATTCCTATAAGGAGGTGGGCGTTCCTCTGAACAGGATTTTCACTGTCAATCCCAAGGGGGAGCTGATACAGGAGCATGCCAAAACCAATATCTCCTCGTAAGCTATGCTCTTTGTTTCACTTGATTTACATCATATGATCTGACTATGGACACATATGTACACATGTTTGACTGTCTGGTTAAAGGTTGGAATCGTCTGTGTCTCTCCCTCTCAGCTATGTGCGTTTGTGCGAGATGGTCGATCATGACTTTCCGCGCCTAGCTCCAAATGAGGACCTTCCCCGCTCCGACACCTTCGACCAGTGCTACTGGAACAAAGAACTTCCTGAACGCACTGACGAGCAAGATGAAGAGCCACAGCCCCTTGAGGCAAGCTGAGGAACCCCCTTCACGCTGTGGTCAGTGGTTTCAGGGTTCATTGTGTAGCTCATGTCCACAGGACATGAAGCACTTATCCAAGAGCTGTTCCTGATGAATGAAAGCTTCTTGGCTTCTTCAAGGATCAAAGACTTAGAAGATAGGTAACTACTGATTCAAGTCACTTATTGCGATTTCTATATCCAACATAAACAATCCACCTTGCCATCATTCAACAGTGACAACACAAGAAAACAAAAAAAGTATTTAACTGATTATTTTCCCGGATAAGTGCACAACACAGACTCACGTATTAAAAATATGAAGGTGCACTGACTCATAGACACACACGCAAGCAGCACACAAAAGTAAATCATGTAAATGCATTCCATTGGACTACATTGCAGAGCAGAAGTACATTATGCTTACATTTGGCTGGTTCCCATTCTCTACTTCATCCCATACTACTATTAATTCACACTGGAGGTTAAAACAAGCTGCCACAATACTATGGGTGACAATGATGATAGTTATTGTTATCTTTCACCAAATGGCTTGTATATTCTGGTATCAATATCGAGTCATCCCTACTTTTATCCCTTGAAATATTAAGTAATAAGAATGGCACTTTGTTAATTAACTAGTACTAATACTACTTTTGCAGAAATGTTGCTGTAACCAAACAGAGATTTTAAACAAGAAGCCTCCAAAAGTGTTAACAAAATATAAATGACATACAATTCAGCCTGTTGGTGCATTACTCATTTTAATCTTTTAATGAACAGTGGCTTTTTTTACCCATCGTAAACAGACACCTGGTTGCAGTTTGACCTGGTCTAGTATAGTGACTGTAGTTATTATTAACTACAAAAAATACCACAATACATTACAGTGAAAACATCCAGTACATGCAAAAACAGCACAGAAAGTGTTTCTAGTGTTCCCTTGTGTGCCGAACACCTTTGCAGGTCCAGATAAATGTGTGTGTGGACCGTGCTACTGTGAAAAATGTTCTAACTTCAATACTCAAGATCAATGCAGGTCAATGCAAAATACCTGTGTGTGTTCTTTATGTCTGTTTTTATATGTTCAAGTTAACACAGGTGATATACTAGAATGTAGTCTATACATAACTCAGAGTGTATGTTATTATAATAACTAATGCTCATCAATGCAATGACTGCTGATTTTAAGTTTTGTGAAGTTGTTAATGCACTGAACAATATACTGTGGAGCACTTATCTGTAAAGGAGAACAGCATGGTGAAATAGGTTGAGGTTTGACTCGACACATTTCTTTCAGTCATTTTTACATTTTCGTTTCATTTGTTATCATGTTTATGTTGCCATCCGTTGATCAAATAACACTTATTGTATTGGATTTATTCAAATGGAAGCGTTTATTTTTACCACATGTCTAACTTAAAATGGGGGAAACCACTGTAACTCATGAATAACATTATTTTATTTGAACATATGAAGTGAATATTTAAGCTCTGCTAAACTGTTGAGAGCTGATATATTGTCTAATATACTTTGTTACTGGTTCTCATTTAGTACTCACAGCTATTGTATGTTTTATTATGAATCTGTTTTTAAACCTGCCACCTCTCGTTGCACTGAGAGGGGGTAGTTTCATCATGTGACCACTTCAGCAAGAGAACAACATGCAGTATTTTAGGAAAGACAATAGGTGACTTTCTTGTCTCCTTTCGGGTGTCATGTCAGCTGGTAATCATGTGTTATTTGTCAATTCATCTAATGCATCATAGGTATCAAGAGGGATATTAAAATGACAGCCAAACTTGTACTTTGTGCAGCATAATGAAGATACTTTCAACCCCCAAAAAGTCTCTGTTTGTATTAAAACGTAAATATTAGGTAGTTAAAAGCAGCTCTGAATGCCTTTCATCTTCTTGTAAGGAGAGAAAATGCTACAACTCTCCAGATTTAAAGCAATTCACCAGATTTCAATAACAATTTAACCATTTAATTTGTAGTCAGATAGTAATGTGTCCTATATTGAAAAAAAGACATGAAATCAAAATGACAGAAGACTGAACTAGGATTGATTGTCTGTTATACTGCTATATAATCTTGGTGCATAGGATAGATATGTCTAATGCTGTGCTGCGACCGACAAAAAGAGAAACTAATCACCTTTCATCTAAAATGTTTGATGTTCAAATGTCTTTTGGGAATCCAGTGTAAGTTGTACCAGATAAAAGATACAGAGGACGCATGCTGTTGTGATTCAAAGATGTGAGTTGATGTGGATGTTATGATGATTGTCACCAGATTTTTGTAGGGAAGTATATGCCCTGTTATTGTTATAAATATGTCAAACATGCACAGACACGATAACTTGTGATTATTTAAGCCAAACAAACACTCTGATCCGTGTGAGGTCATTTAATTTGATAATCGTAAAATCTCTCTGCCTTTAATTCGAGCACAGAGATATACTTACTGTACAATTTCATATGGAAATAAGAAGTAAGAATTGATTTTTCCTCTTAATGAACACAATGCTCTTCCCCTTTTTTAAAGTAAATCATCTGTTTTGATGATTTTCACCTGATTCTTTCTGTGAAAGATCGTAGGAACTCTTGACCAGATATCTGTCTCTGTGTTGACATGGATGTCGATCCGGTTTGCTTTCCCGTGTAAAGATTATGTTCAGGGCACCGTGAAGCAGCGTGCAAGCTACTGTCGACAACATAGTTTGAATAAATCTGTACAGTGGACACATTTTTCAATAAACTCAAAGGTGATTGCTACACTGTGTTTCACTTCCTTTTAACAGTTCTGCATATTAAGTACGTTTCACTTGTGATGACTTGTTGACAAAGCTTTTGTTCATGTACAATTTTGAATGCAAAGCTTTTCTTTTAAGGAAGCATGTTTTTGTATTGAAGTGTTGCACATATTGCAGAACAAATTAAAAATTATATGTAATGAAGCATGTTTAAACCGTGGTATTACTACCTTGGAATAATAATCCTTAGTAATGAGTGATCTTAAATTCAAGTTAATACAATTTACCAGGTTAATTTAATAAGACATAACAACAATTCCATTCTGATCACTTTAGAGCAGTGGTTCCCAACTGGTGGGTCGCAACTCAAAAGTGGGTTGCCGACCCGTTTCGAGTGGGTCGCAGATGTATGAGTGAAGAAATGTTTTTTTTTTAAAAGTCAAACTTTTATTTTGAAGGCACGATTATCTAACGCTGTGCATGCAGTAAGTGTTGGACTGGTACCGGACACCATAAACCAGTGGGGGGCGCGCAGAGGCATGACAGGGGGGGGTGCGAGAGACCAGGAGGAAAAATGGTTATAAAAAAAAAAAATCATAATTAGAAAAATTGATTCGAAAATAATATGATACAGTACAGTACAGTACTACTCTGCTCTGTGTGTGTGTGTGTGTGTGTGTGTGTGTGTAACTAGCTATTTTGTGTGCGTGCGCGAGCGAGAGCGAGAGCG